TAGTTTCGTCGTTCATCGGTTTGTGAGACCCCAACATTGTGAGATTAATCATTCATCTGTAATTTGGTTGTTTTCTTTCTTGCTCTTGCTTGTGTTCTTCGTTGCGCAGGCAGGGGTTAGACTTCTTGGCGAGGTCAACCAGAACCGAGTCTCGGTTGATAACCAGAGGAGTTGTGGTGCTAGGATTGCAGGGTTCTATCTTTCGATCTGAAGCCGGATCGGTGTGTCATTCTCCGCCACAACGATAGTTACCTCTACCTGACGGAAGATCAGGATCCCCATCGCCATTAGGGAACATGACCTATGTTGGGTTGGTTATTATCAATGAATGTCACTGAGGAAGAAAAAACCATGTATGATGAAACCTAAATACATGTGAAGATGTGAACTTACCATTTGACGATGGTCTAGATGGTTATCTGGATGCCAGAATACACGTGAGACCTGTGTCGTAGTTAGGTTGCCCTCCTACATGAAAGTCTGCGAAAAAAACAGTAGCAAAACTGCCTTAACAAATTAAGAAAATTGCTAACAAAAACTTGTAAAATTACTTGATACTAAAAGAAAAATTGCTTCTGTACAGATTTATAGTACAAGAATAATAAAAGAAACTATGAACTGACTAAGGCTAGCAGCTGGTGTACATTCGTGTTTGATCAGTTGTGAGACTTGCATGTTCAGTAAAAGTTCAGAGAAAGCCAAACTATAACCTGACTGAAATTACTCATTACTCATTGTGCTCTCTTCATTTGTTTTTACAGCAGCAGCTTAAGTGTGTGTAGTATTTGACCTGAGATACATGTCAATGTGCTCACAATAAATTCTTAGGGGTGGGCTGTTGGCAAATGGCATTGGCATGGAAGCAGAAACAACAGCAGCAGGAGGCAGGTTACATCCTCTCTCCAATTAAGGTTGCTAAAGCCTAAACAGTGGGAGGCCTGCAACAAGTGTAGGGACATGGGCCCCTAAATTTTGCCCTAGCTATAGTAGTGAGAGCTACCCAAGTGCAGGGACATGGGCCTCTAAATATGCCCTCGATGAAAGTGCAAAAAAAAAGAAGCAAAACTGCCTTAACAAATTAAGAAAATGCTAATAAGAACATGAAAAAAATACTTGATACTAAAAGAAGAATTGCTTTGGTATAGATTTATAGTAGAAGAATAATGGACGAATGTAACACCCTAAAATTTACATTCTTTTAAAATAGTTAAATTTGATTTATTTATGTAATTATGTGTGCATTAAAATATAGGAAAATAATAATTTTTGTGAAATTAAAATCAATCATAAGGATAGATCCATGTTGATGCACTCATGCTGCAGCATTTTATTTAATATGTTGAGTGGTTTTGATTTAAACTCAAAAAAATTCAAAAATCATTTTTGAAATGAATTTGGAAAAAGAAAAGGAAAAATTTTTCCCTCCCCCCTCCCTTCCTCATTTTCGGCCTGCTGGCCCATTTCCCCCGCCGGCCCGCTCGCCCTCCTTCTCTTCTTTTCTCCCCTCCCTCTCATTTTCTTCTTGGGCCGGCCCGACTCGGTCTTGGCGCAACCGTTGCCACGCTCCCCCTCCTTCTCTGCCACTGACGGCCTAGGCCCGCTCGTCAGCGCCGTCCCCCACCTCCCACGCGTCCCGCGCCCGGTCAAGCCGCAACCGCCGCCGTGCCCACTTCACGTCGTGGGAGCGTCCTCCCCCGCGCCCCGGCCTCTATAAAAGGAGGTCCAGACCCCGTCGCCGCCCTCCCTGCTGCCTCCCCTGCTCCACTCTCACACTCGCCCGAGCGCACGGAAGCTGCAACCGCCGGCGTCCGTTCCTTCACGCGATCCGCCATCCCCGAGCCGCCATTCCCCGCCGTTCGTCGTCCCCGGTTCGTCCTCACCTTGATTGACGCCGTAAGGATCTCCGCCTTGATCCCCTCTTCCTCTCAGTGCATTCAAATTCTTGAATCATGGCCTCTAGGGCCCAATCCGTGTGCGCCAAGGACCTTCGCATCACCGGCCATGGCGACCACCCCGCCGACCGCGTCCTCCGGCCGTGTTCTTGGCCTCCCGGCCGTGTTCTTGGCCTAGGCGAGGTTGCCTTCACCTCCTCTCTCCCCCGGTGCTCTCGGATGGGCAAACCGTGGCCTGTAGGGCCCGTATCGATCACATCGGGACCTCCTCGCCACCGGCAATGGCAGCGCCGCGACATGCTGGCACCGTTTTCGGGTGCCGGCCTTCTCTCTCTCCCCCTCAGCTCAAATCTAAGCCGTCCATCCGTGATCCAATGGCCTAGGATGGTCGATACCCCTTCGTGGGTCTTTTTGCTAAAGAGACCCCCAAGTTTTGCCTAATTGAACCCGCAGTCCTCAGCCGGTTTAAATATCCCAGATTTGATTTATTTAAATTCAAAAATAGTTCATTCTATTTATAGAAATGCCACTGCATTGTTTTGCTTATAAAATCATCGTTTTAGCTCCGAATCAACCCGTTCAAATTGCGTTAGATTCGTAATAAAGTTCTCTACATGTTAATACCACTGTCAAACATGTTTGCAACATTTAAATTTTGAGGTTAGATTTAATTAAACAAATTGCTATAGGAAATCCCGTTTAATTCATAACTTTCATGTTTTAGCTCTGTTTTTTGTGATCTTCGCGTTGACGTGATCGTAGCGAGACATAGAAACTTTTCATAAACATTTTATCTTGTTTTCTATACTGCTGGTGTACCACTCTAACTATAGGTTTGTTTGCTTTGCATGAATGCCTTTGGAATGCTTGTATGTTGCTTTGTTGGTCGAGTTCAGACGGTGAGAAGAACGTTGGAGACCAAGAGTTCTTTGACGACCAGCAGGACCAGTAGGAGTTTGTTAACCAAGGCAAGTATAGCATGGGATCTACCTTGATGTCCTATTCACCATTTATTAATTACTCATTTGCATGTGTCTAATTTTGATACCCGTAAGGACATCCTAGTGGTTGAATATCCAGTTTTCCTTGTCTCCTAAGGGTTATATGCATATGGGTAGTTGCTAGCGCTCAACATAACTGTACATGATCTACATATTGAACAATGATTCTATGGAAAGAAAAGGTAAAAGTTGCTTTTAAACAACTGAATTATAGGGCGAAGGAGCAAATGACTTTTGATCATGATGCTCTCGGCCCTCCATAAGGACTTATCTGTCGGCAAAAGCTGGGACTGACAGTGCAACCGTGAGGGTCACATGGCTCTGACTTTAGCTCAGTAATAGGACCTTTTTCTAGCTTGTTAGAGGTTACCTTTATAGCGCAAAAGGGGCATGCCACATTGGGTATAGGACTGCCCCTGTTCTTATGTGTATAGACGCGAAGGATTTGTGCCATAGGAAAGGGGGGTTCCTACATCTGCCTACCGAGGAAACCTAGCAGCCCTAACTTGTTAGTGAAACCTATGAAATGGCTTCATAGTGTACCCCACCTGCTCACCTTGGTAGTGATATGGGAGTAATTAACCCGGGCATATGGGAATCACGACTCACGGTGAATGTGCACAACCTCTGCAGAGTGTTACAAACTGTTATAACAGCCGTGCTCACGGTCACGAGCGGCCTGAAAAACTCACAGAATAATTGGTTATTTATTGTTGTTCATTTATGATGTTCTACGATGACAATATGATACAATTGATTTTGATATCTGATCATGTGGGTTTAATTGGGGCTTAAGCATAACTTGATAATAGTGGATGATAAAATCTTGACTTACTAAAAGTGCTAACCGCAATAAACCAGAGTCATCCTTTTTGAGCTTTCATAACCCCATGTTATCTTGTTAAGTATGGGAAGTACTTACGCTTATTTACTTTCAATATTTGGATAAAAATCACGGATGGGTAACATATGTCAACAGATATGAGGAGTTTCCAGAGGACTTTTAGGCTTGTGTTCAACCAGTTGACCGTCCCTGTGTTGGAGCTACCACGAGAGAGCTACTTTCTTTTATTTTCCGTTGTGTTGTGTAAGACTATGTGATGGTAATAATAGTTATGTAAGAAACACCGTGATGATACTTTATATAATTTGTCAACTTATGTGTGTGACTGATCCCTAGGCACACATGAGTTTTATGCATTCAATTTTATCCTTAAAATTGGGTGTGACAACAAAAAATATGAACCAACCGAGACTCGTAAAGGTTGAACGCGTTTGACAGTCTTTCTACTGGTGTCGTCAATTGTGTAGATTGCAATTTCAGCAACTGGGCTCATTAGCTTCCCTCCAGGCTTAATAGATAGAGCACGATGATCTAGCGTCACATAAAAGCTCTAGAAACTGATTATGACCATGCTGCACACATAAAAGAAGCAAGAAAGTGAGCATAAATCATTGATAACATGATGATCAACATTTTTAAAATAATGAAGGAAGACATGGTTATGGGCATACGCACTCTTGAGCTTTTGTAGATATAGTAGACCTTGTATTTCTATGTGCACACATAGCATCATATAAATCACAAACATCCTTGCTGCAATGGAAAGTCCTCTTTGTAGCAAAGTCAATATAAGGCGATCGGAGAGCAGCTGGCCTTTTCTAAATCCTTCTTGGGTGAGGCTCATAGGCAGGTGTAACTGAAGAATTGCCACTAGCATGCTCTTTAGATATGGATGGAGGAGGTACAGGATCATATGCCTAAAACACAACTACTAGTTTCACCTTTTTCTTCTCAAACTCAATAAGAGCATCATTTTTCAACTTAGCAAGTTCTTCTTCTGGTATATTTGATAGTGAGAATTGAGAACCAGCTGGTGTGGAAGTTGTTTGAACTTCAATAGGTGTTGTTGAAGTAGCACCTGCAAAGTTGTTGGGTCCACCCTGTGAATCTACAAATTTCGTGATGTTGGTATCTGGGGTGTAGAATCCAAAGGACAGCTTTTGGTACAACGTGAGTCACCTATGTTGGGTTCGTCATCAGTCTAAGCAATAAAGGAAATAACATGTATGATGATGAAACATATCCCATTATCAAGATGTGAAGTTACCACATGGGGGTCCTAAGCTTTTCCTTCATTCTTTGTGCATTGGATTTTGGCTTGATGGTAGGTTCTAGAGGAATAATCTGCAGTGGTTGAGGTTCACTAGAAGTTGTTGTATCCTTCTTCTTATCTTTAACTTTCAAAGCTTGCAACCTTTCCAAACGAACCTTCAGTGGTACAAGATCTTCACTATCATCAACTTGAGCTTCAACATGGGTGGATGAATCTATAGGTGGTTGCACATTACATTGCTTGTCAACTCTAGTTGCATCCAACTTAGGTTCTTCCAAAGAAGTAGTATCATCCTCATCTTGCTTTTCAATGCCTTTGTCTTCCTCCTCCAGTATAGGGGATAGATTTCCATTGCCATCATCATCAAATGCAGTCTCATGATCTAAATTGGAATCTTCATCCTCTTCATCTTGGTAAGTACCACCATCTCCATTTTCATCACTCAGCAAATCCTCTTTAGATTCTTTGCACAAAGATTCATCTTCAACAACATGTCCTCTTCTACTCATTGCCCTGGTCTGCCTTTGTGCACAGAAAGGTACATCTTGTTCCAATTTGGAATGCTTTGGTCTACAGTGTCTCTGTGCAAAGGAAGGTTCACCTTCAGAATGATTTGCCCTTGGACGCTTGGAACTACCCACATGTTGTGATGCAGGAGCTTCAACTTTAGAAACTTTTTCCAAAACTGTGTCGAGAAGCTCTATGAAACTAGAGCAGAACTAACTAACAGCAGTGTTGAGCATACTTTTTTTCTACAAAGGACAAAAGAAAAGGAAAAAATAGGTGTAAGTAATGGAATGAAACCACGCACACAAATTTTGGACAAAACCCAAAAAAAGGAGTGAAAGTGAACAAGTGGAATGGGCCCCACAAGATTCATACAAGCTTGTGTTGTGCAGACCCACAAACGGAGGGGGGACAAGTAGAGTTAAGCAACCATATAAGCAACAAAAGGGATGGCCTTTTTTACTAGTAAGAATAGGCTAAATTACCTATTTAGGAAGACATTGTTGCCTAACGAATAACACTTAAAATGTCTAAGAAAATGCAAAGATGCTAAACTGGGGATGCCGTCGCACCTAGTTTTAAGGACAAAACCAGATACACACCATATGTGTGCCTAGGAATTCATTTCACACATATAGTTACAAATGAAGGGGTAATATCAAAGACAATGCCTTTATTACATAGAGCATAGTTATTCATTACAAAAGACATAATCTTACTTTGCAGTATATACTATAACTCTATGACTCTGGCGAAGCCTCCAACACCATCAAAATCGTCAACTGGTTGATCACAAGCCCAACACCTCTTGGAAAACTCCACTAAAGAACCTCCGTCTGGTATCCATCCGGGATTTTGCCAAAGTATTGAAATAAAACAAGCGTAAGCTACTACCGCTTAGCAAGCATAACATGAGGGGATGCAGGCTCAAAAGGCTTGACACGGCTGAACTGCGGTAAGCACTTTTAGTTGATCATATTTTATTATTAATCATAAGTTACTAAGTTATGCTTAGGCTCCCAAATATGAATAGTTAGAGATATCATCAATTTTAATCATAACCTAAACCATCCAGGTAACCAACTATTCAGTAAGGATCTAGACCACTCGTGTCCATGAGTATGGCTGATATACCAGTTTTACACTCTGTAGAGGTTGTACACTTTCTCCATGAGTCGTGTTGCCCATATGCCCGGATTAATTACTCCCAAAACACTTCCAAGGTGAGCAGGTAGGGTACACTACGAAGGTTTTCCCTAGTCATTCTAATAAGGAGCAGACGCTAAGGATTCCATTCCCAAGTGTTATGGAGTCATCTCCAAAAATGGCACTAATACTTGCAGCATAGTACACACCCTGGCGATGAGGCCCATACCTAGCCTGGTATGCCCCTCTTGCCCTTTAGTTAAAGTGCTACAAACTAGAAAGAGCAAGGTACTGAACTAAGACCAGAGCCATGTGGTCCTCATGGTTGTACTGTAAGTCCTGGGTTGCCACTTAAAGATGAGTCCTCATGGAGAGAAACTAGAGCAGCATAAGAAAAGACCCAATGCTCTAGCCCCCTTGGTTCCATGTTGCTAAAAAGCATCTTTAATTACCATGTTTCATATATCTTTAATTGTATTCTTTACTCAATATTAGTTGGAGCAAACTGAGCATACTACCCACATGCATAACCCAGAGGTAAATCAAGGACAAGATAGTCAATATCAAGGTAAACAGACTCCAAGCGGTTCATTAACATATGCTTATGAATTCATATTGCATTAAAGTGAATAGGTAACAAGGAGCCTCATACTATACTTGCCTTAATTCAACGTATCGCTGACGGTCTTGATCTTCAAAGAGTTGTTTCAAACCACCCATGTAAAACTCACTGTCTAATCGAGATCAAGCAGCACCACACAGGCATCCATACATACATGCATAGCAAACATATATAAACTAATTATAACAATACACCAAATAGTATAAAAAGAAGTTAAAAGGTTTCAAAACTATTCTACGCAACGCTACGATCACACAGACGCGAAGATCACAAAAATCGGAGCTAAAGCGAAGAAGTTAAGAATTAAACAAGATTTCCTTTAGTAAAATAATAGATTAAATCTAACCTCAAATTTTAAAAGTTGAAAACATGCTTAACAGTAGTATGAATATGTAGATTACTTAATTACGAACCTAACGCAACTTGAACAGATCAAATAGGAGTTAAAACGAAGAAACTATATATAAAATAAGATCAATGGCAATTTTGTAAATATTTTTTATATCAATTTCATATTAAAAATAATTCAAAACCGAATTAAAACAATCCTATGGACCGGGAGTTATTTTTGAAAAACTATAGGGGCTGAAACAAAAAATCTAGGGGCATATGTGGAATTATTTTCAACAGAAGGTGGACTATGGGTTGATTATCCAAAAATAGAGGGTCACTTTAGCAAATAAGCCAGCCATATTGGTATCTTCTAATCTAGGCCGTTGATCTTAGATCGGACGATGCAGATCAAATCGGGGCACGGGGTCACCGAAGCAGCGCTGTGCACGGCGGCGCCATGGCCGAGGAGTAGAGGAGTTCTCGACGTTCCGGACATCATAGGTAAAAAAGAAAGCACGGGGAGAAAGAGGAAGACATGGCGAACTCACCAAGGGCTCTTTCGAGGTCGAAGATGGGACCACGATGTTTGATAGCTCGGTGGAGTAGACGGCAAGCTTCGGTGACAGTGCGCGAACGGAATTAGAGCATGAGGGGGCAAAAGACGGTCCCTAGAGGCTTCCTTACCAAGATGCGAAGACCAGAGAACGGCTTAGATCGATGGCGAAGCTTGGCCATGGTAGAATCGCATGCGGCTGTGCTGTTCTAGGGTTGCGGCGGTGCTTGAGAGCTCGGGTGTAGCACCTGATTTTAAGAACAAAACCAGATACACACCATATGTGAGCCCAGGAAGTCAAATCTCACATATAGCTACAAATAAGGGTAATATAATAAGACAATGCTTATTACATAGCGTATTAGTATAAAGAATACAACCTCAGAGTATAGACAATGGAAAGACAACTCTGATCTTTAGGTGAAGACTCCACTTCCACAGGGACAACTAACTGGTTGATCATGAGACTAATTCCTCCAAACTCTAACAATCTGGTACACATCCAAGATTTTTATCCAAATAATTGAAAAATAAAGCAAGCGTAAGTACATGTCGTACTCAACGAATATAACATGGGGTTCATGAGGCTCAAAAGGCTGACACTGGTTTAACTATGATTAGCTTTTAACGAGTCATGATTTTAGCAATTGAGTAGCAACAAGTTTATCACAAGCCCATGTAAACACATGATCAGGTAAATATGAATAATGAATAGCATAAACATTAATCATTAGTGAGCATCTTCATCATCAGTATCATCAGAGTTCATCATGTATTCCGTAAATGTTCCAAGGCTACTCGTGACCGTGAGCACGGCTGATATACCAGTTTTACACTCTGCAGAGGTTGTACACTTTCACTGTGAGTCATGATTTACCGTTTCACCCGAGATAGCTAATCTCTTGACCCACTTCCAAGGAAGGTCGGCAGGGTTCACTATGAAGCCTTTCAAAGGTTCGTCTAACAAGTTAGGGCCATTAGATTCACTCGGCAAACAGATGTAGAGCCCCCTTCCCGATGGCACAATGACATGTAGCCTATACTCAAGGGGACAGAGGTCGCACTATAACTGATTCATCAAGCCATTCTTACGCCAATAAAGATAACCACTAACAAGCTAGAAAAGGTCATCATAGTGAGCTAAAGCCAGAACCATGTAGCCCTCATAGCTGTATTGTAAGTCCTGGATGATCATTTACAGATAAGTTCTTAGGGAGAGGAATCTAGAGCACCATAAAAACAATCCAATGCTCTAGCCCCCTTGTTCCATGTTGCTAAAAATATCTTTTAGTGTTTATTACATATACCATTGGTCAAGTTATAAGATCATGGTTGTAGTTGAGCACTAGCATCATACTACCCAATACAATACCCCATAGGTATCAAGGAACAAGGTAACAAAGTACTAGGAAATCTTTAGTGGCAGTCAAGGTAGACATATCCAGCATGAATTAAATGATTAAAGGTGTATAGGACAACAAGGAAGATCCCATGCTATACTTGCTTTAAAACTCATATCCTTCTTCTACTAAATTGTAACCTCCAAAAGACTTCTTCTAGATCACCAACTTCTTCTATTTTATCAACGTACTTCTCATCGACTGGACATGATCATAAAGCACTACACAAGCATCCATCTAATCATACACGAAGCAAACAATAGAACTAAATCAGAATAGTACACCAAACATAATAAACATCAAGTAAAAAGGTTTTAAAGATGTTCTAGATGTCGCTACGAACACACAGACACGAAAAGCATACTAATCAGAACTACGGTTGTAAAGAAACGACTACAGGGTTTTATATTATAAAAGAAAAGAGAAGACTATAAGCTTGATTTATGTTAATTAGGAAAAACTATGTGAGTAGCATTAATTTAGATTAAACAAATCATATTTATACTTAAAAACTGAGTTGAAGCTAATCATATTTTATTTATAAATATTTTGATACCATTTATGCCAATTCAACTTTAACTTGCAAATATAAACTGTCATGTGAGAACATCTAATCAAATTTGATGTGTGTTTAGAATAAAAATATTATAATTTAGAAACATATTTATGTTAGCAATTAGTCATGTTAAAACTTATTTGCAAAAGAGCATTGTATATAAATATGTTGCTTTTATTTATAAACATGCATATTAATCAAATTAATATTTAAGCATATATATAAAAGTCACTTGACATGAAAAACAATGACACTAGCATGTAGATCACATCGATACGAATCTAACGTAATTGAAATGACTCGAAATAGACTTAAAACGAATATACGACGACGATATTACGAACTGGTGGTAATTTCGTAATTACCTCGTCTTCATGCTTTATCCCCATACA